GGCTCACTGCCCCTTGATAGAAGTACCTCCCTTTGCTCGGTGACTGTGCAGAAGCTTCAGATGAGACAGAGGCCACACAAGACAATGTCTGCCCTCCTCAGAATCTGCCCCACCTCCCCTCCTGGCCACCAGACGTACAACTAGGGTTAACTTTTAGCCTTGCTTGAATCTTAGCATAGCTAGTTTGTTCGGATGGGGAAGTTCTGGCCACGCTAAGGAAGGAGACAGATTGTGTTGAAGGAGCTGAAGTTCTCGCCTAATATGTACGAGCAGGATCTGGGAGAATATGCCTGGAAGGAGATCCTCTTGGTGCTGGATCAAGGGGGCCAGAATCTAAACTAAATAAGGAAGAGTTTGTTGATATGAGCACACTCTCCCATGACACAGGATTTAACACCCAGAGAAGGTCCTAGGAGCTTGACCTGATACTCTGCTGAGATTAAGACAGGCTGGGACCTGGGACCTGGGATCTGGGACCCTTCGCTGCAGTGCTTGCACCTGGACAAATGTCTCCTCAAGCAACAGAATATAAAGAAACTAAGAGGGACTAAAAATAACTGCGTGCATGCCCAGTTGGGGCAAATTATGAAAAACAAGATACAAAAAGACCAAAAGCCCAACTGCTGCTTCTGAAGAGCCGGGAGCAAAAACAGGGTATAGGGAGCAAAAGCAGGGTATTATCCTGCACTCACCACCACCAAAAGGGTGAGCAAACCACTTAAGTCACCCCTCCTGCCTGATCCCTGGACATACCACATATAAGGAACCAGCTCGCTCCCCCCTTGGGGAGCAAGCAAGGGAAACTGTTACCTGTTTTCACTCCCCCCTGCTGCAGCAGGGGCCCCAATAAAGTCTTGCCTGAATTTTTTGTCTGGCCTCTTATCAACTTCTATTTATTAAGGAGGCCAAGAACCCTTGTTGGTAACAAGACGACCCTTGGAAGCTTGGAAAAAGCAATACCTAATACATTAACTTAGGTTGGAATGCCAAAACTACCAGGGAAGACTCTAGGGAAATGGATCAAAAGATTCAAAAAGTGGGCAGCTAGAATGGGACTAATGTATAAGACTGAAAGACCCCCTAGCTAATTGTGTTCCTTGGGAGGGCCTGGAGGTCACTCCATTTACCAAAGCAGTGCTCTGGTAAGGGGGCACCAGAATTGTTGAAAATCTCAGAGCTGGCTGTCTGTCATAGGCAGGGGATAAATGTAAGAGGAACTATTACAGAACTGGGCTCCTATTAGTAACTATGAGGATGCGGGGATCTAGGGATAGCTGAGGTCAGTGACAACACATAACCATCAGAGTCAAGGTGGGAGTAATTACCATAATGGATGACAATTTTGGAATAGCAGCCAGGGGTGCCCAACCTGCACAGATCTATGGATATGGATAATATGAGATGATGCCCCTAGTGGCAAAATAGATGGGCATCTAACAAGGGTATTGATTCATACACAAAATCAAGAGTGATCAGGATGAACAGAAGGCCAAGTTTAGCTACGTCAATATACAGTCACAATCCTTTGCTCAATTTCCAGACTTGAGCCAGCTCTTACACTCAGAACCCATCATTTGAAGGAGATGCCAGGTCTCTATGAGGGAGAACCCTGCAAAATCATGCCAACTGAAGACAGGAGTGAACCCCCGAGTCCTTCCCCAAAGGAACCCATGGATATTTACTCAGGTAATACACAATAGGAAAAGGGAAATGCCCAGATCTTTTGGTACCAAAGAGCCATCATGCTCCCCCTATGACACTGAGGCTTGTAGGGGTCAGTTAATAAATGGAGCTCCAGCCCAGGTTCATCTCACAGTGGGTCCAGTGGGTCCTTGGACTTATCCAGTGGTCATTTCTCCAGCTCCCAATTGTTTAATTGCAATGGATTTACTTCAAAATAAATCCTCTCATTGATTCCTTGATCAGTAGAATAAGAGCAATAAGAGCAAAGACTAAGTGAAAGCTCCTAAAACCATATCCTCTCCTGACAAGGCAGAAAGTCACAAACGATATCATACTTCAGGGGGATGACAGAGATCAGGCCACCCACAAAGACGAAGGTCATCCCCAATCTACCCCCATTTAATTCGACAGCCTGCCCTCTGCAAAAGCCAGCCTGGCCTCTGACCATAGTCTGATGACAGTAGTCTACCACAAAATTAGTAAACAATAGTCATAGTGCTGCTGCTAAACCTGACATGGTACCTTTATTTGAGCAGATTAACATAGCCTCTGGTAAGGGGTGTGGCAAATGCATTGTGTTCCATACAGATCAGTTTACAGTCACTTGGAACAGACAACAGTGTAGACTCAAGGTTTTGCCCTAGGGCTATGTTAATTCACCTCTGCCACAATAGAGTCTAAAGGGACCTAGACTAGCTAGATATTCCTGAGAACATCATATTGATCTACTCTATAGATGACATTATATAAATTGGACCAGATGTGCAAGATTAATGGCAAGTACCTTGGATGCACAGTCACTACAAAGAATGGGTCATACAAAGACTCGAGGGTGCAATGGTTCTGGGACACAGGGAGACATTCTTTTCAAAGTAAAAGATAAAATTTTGTCCTTTGATCTTCTACCTGTGTGAAAGTAGCACAATACTGCATACGCCTCTGGGTTTTGGAGGTAGCATTTTGAGAAAAATGCTATGATCCATCTTTGGGGTGAAAGATGAAAACTGACGATTATGAGTGGGGCACAGAGCAAGAAAGGGCCCTGCAGTAGGTCCTGGCTATAATATATACTTGCAGCCCTGCTTCATGGGCCATGTGACCCATAAAATCCCATGCTGCTAGAGATATCTGAGGTAGAAAAAGATGTTATGCAGAGCCTCTGTGTGCCTCAACAAGAGATGCACAGCACAGACCCATGGGGTTCTGGATCAAGGTCATACAATTGCAGGAAAGAACTACATGCCACTCAAAAAGAAGCACCAATCATATTACTGCACCCAGGTAGGGACTGACCAAATGGCCATGTGGCAGGACTGGCCATCATGAGCTGGGTAGTGTCAGATCCACCAATTCATTAAGTGGGCAGGCCTAGGAACAATCCTTCATACAATGGAAGGATTGACATCCAGGATCAGGCATAAACTGGGTTGGAGGGGAAAATTAAGCTGCGTGACCAGGTGGCATGGACTTTCAGGCCACCCATCACTGTTGCACAGACGTCTCTCCCTCAGCTCACCCCTTTGGCCCCATGAGGGGTCGCTATGGCCAGCTGAGAGAGAGGAAAAGGCCTGACCTTGGCTGCTGGGTGATGAACTCAGTGCGTGGGTACCATACGGAAGGTACTGCTGTCATGCTAACACAAACAGGAAAGAAAAGACAGGAGAGAAAGGGAGTGTCCCTGATGGGCAGGGCTTTGGGCAAAGAGCACCTGGTCATCCATCCACCTTGCTTGAGGTACGAATGTACACAGATGCATGAGAGGTGAAGAAAGACTTGGCTAGTTGATCAGAGGCCTGGGAGGAGCAAGACTGGAAGATCAGGAACAAAGAAGTCCCAGGAAAGGCATATGGTGGAGACAATTTGTGAAGGCACAAATTGTGAGGATTTCTGTGCCACCTGTTAGTGCCCATCATCAAGATCTGCTCCAGAAGAGGCACTAAATTATTAAGTGAACAGGATGACTTGGCCAGTAGATGAGTCAGTCTCTGTCCCTGACCATCCAGTGTTTGCACCCTGAGCTCATGAACGGAGTAGCCATGTGGTGGAGGTGGAGTCTGCAGGTGGGCCACTAGCATGGGCGTACACTTAACAGGGTCACCTAGCTCTTATCACCGCTACTGTTCCTACCTGCCAGCAACAGACACCACTGAGACCCCACCATGACAAGCCCCATCACACTTCCATCTATTCCCTCCCTTGTACAATGAGGGCTACACTTAGCAGTTCCCATGGCCTCGGGCATTATTAGCTAATGATTGTCTTCACCAGCCAGAGATTCTACACTCAGTGGTAATTACAAACTGCAAGTTATTTCTCCAGAGGCCTGCTCAGTGCAGCTCACTTTGTTTTTAAATAAATAAATTTATTTATTTATTTATTCATTTTTGGCTGTGTTGGGTCTTCGTTGCTGCGCATGGGCTTTCTCTAGTTGCAGTGACTGGGGGCTACTCTTTGTTGCGGTGCGTGGGCTTCTCATTGCGGTGGCTTCTCTTGCTGCAGAGCACCAGCTCTAGATGAGCAGGTTTCAGTAATTGTGGCACGTGGGCTCTAGAGCACAGGCTCAGTAGTTTTGGCGCATGGGCTTAGTTCCTCCACGGCATGTGGAATTTTCCTGGACCAGGGCTCGAACCTGTCTGTGTCCCCTGCATTGGCAGGCGGATTCTTTTTTTTTTTTTTTGGCTGCATTGGGTCTTCAATACTGCACGCGGGGCTTTCTTTAGCTGCATCAAGCGGGGGCTACCCCTCGTTGCAGTGTGCAGGCTTCTCATTGCTGTGGCTTCTCGTTGAGGAGCATGGGCTCTAGGCGTGCGGGCTTCAGTAGTTGTGGCACGCAGGCTCAGTCGTTGTGGCTTGCGGGCTCTAGAGCACAGGCTCAGTAGTTGTGATGCACGGGCTTAGTTGCTCCGCAGCATGTGGAATCTTCCTGGACCAGGGCTCGAACCTGTGTCCCCTACATTTGGCAGGTGGATTCTTAAGCAGTGTGCCACCAGGGAAGTCCCCCAGCTCACTTTTTAAAAGGACAGAAAATTGTCTGCTCTCCAGGGGTGGAGCAGTGTCTGGGAAAATACCAACATGGTGGAATTAGGGGTCATTTTACCATATTCTGAAATGGTACCTTTTGAGGAGTGTTTGTGTGACTGTGACTTAATTTCCTGAAATGCATCTAGCAGGGCCTCAAATCGCTCTGTATTCCCCCTGCAGATTGGAGTCCCAAGATCCTGATCTTCATTTTCCTGGAAGGCAGAGGGGAGCTAATTGTAGTGAGAGCCCCAGTACCTGGTACCTGGTATACTCACACACGCATCACCCCAGCCTTGGGACAACTCCACAGAAGACAGATTTTCCCTGTGTTACTGGGAGGACTTGAAGTTCCAAGATGGGTAGCGACTCGCCCAGGGTCATCGGCTCCTGTGGGCCACATTTTGCCAAATCCCCCACCTGCAGAGTCACTGGCCATGGCCTGGTTCTGCTAGCAGTGTCCTCCGGCCACCTTTGGTTTGGGCGTAGAAACCCATTTGTAGTGTCATCACTCCTGTGTCTCGTATTTAGAAGCCTAGGGTTTAGGGGTTGCTTCTTTTTCTTTCAGTAGGTGAATCCCCATTTGAAGCCCCTCTCGAAAATGGACCAAATGAACCTGCTCAGAATTGAACCTCTACTTCCCCAGCCCCACACCCTTAGATTTGGAGTTCTGTTTAAAAGAAGTGCATGTCCCTAGGGCTGATGAGAACACTGGCCTTGGGACTTCCACAGTGAAAGGCAGGAGATCGGATGCAACACAGATGCTCCTGGCTCCTAAGCAGGTGGGGTCACTCTGGCCAGTTAACCCCTTCTGGGGGTGGCTCTGAGCCAGCAGCCCAGGGCTGGGCACATGGAGAGATGCCTGGACAGGGTCTATTCCCACCAGGCTTCTATCAGCATGTCCAGCCATCACACTGCCAGGGGAGGAGGAAGTGATGCCAGCACACGAGAAGGAAGACACTGGGACTCAGAGCCTCCTGTCCTCCCCGCCAACCCCATGCACCCATTCAACAGATGGAGCTCAAGTAACCTACCCCATGTCACCCAGCTGAGGCTAACGAGCAGGGAAATGGGAGGAAGGATGCCTCAATCCTAAACAAGATCCTAAAACAAGCACTTGGTGGCCTGAGTCTCTGGGGTGGGAGATATCCTGGGGCCCTAAATCCAGCTCCTAGTACAGAGCTACTCTTTGTAGGTCTTCAATAAGTGGTTAGCGGAATGAAAGAGGCCTTGAACCCTTGTGGCCAGGGCTCCTGTTCCCACAGGCTTCATATTAAGCCCCCTTGTCCCTCTTTTCCTTTCCAGATTCCTCAGCCCCTGGGGGCAGCCCTCCACCCTAAGAGAAATCAAGAGAGGGATGAGTCAGGACATTCCTTCCCTGCCAACTCACCCTGCTGCATGGGATCCGAATCAACCAACACCCATTCCAAACACACTGGTTACACCGGCCAGCCACCACCCTCATGTTGATACACACCCAGCTCTGCCTTTAAGGGTGGCACCCGGCTTGCTGTTCCTTGGAGGCCCACACCCTCTCTGCAGCTTTACCCTCTACTTTAAAACTCCCACAGAAACAGATGATCCTGGCCCCTGGGAAGCACCTCCAGTTCTCAGGAGTCAGGTAAGTGAGGACTGGTTTGTACTTTGCATAATTCTGAAAGGACTGGGGGCCGCTGTTTAAAATGAGAAACAGACAAGTCTACTATTACTGCCAGGATTGAAACCACAGTAACAATGTAATGAAGTCCCTGTGTGTTTACTTGGCAGGGGGCAGGAATTTCTTGTATCAGAAATCCTGATTTAGGAGGAGTACTGCCACTTACACAGAAATCTTGCTCAGAGCCTCCTAGCAGGCAAGGGGAAAAGTGATTTATTATCATTTTTACTATCACTCTCATTATCAAACAAAAGAAAGTCTACCATATCTTCTCAGAGACCCAGACCCTTGGCAAATTTTTCTAACCCAGAGAGAGCCTTCAGAAAAGTAAGCATGAAGGGAAAGAAAGGAAAGCAAACTTACTCCCAGCTTTAACAACTTGACTACTAAATGCTAACCAATTATCACCTGGAGAGAGCATTGAATAAGCATGGGCAGTAGCATTCATGGAAAGTTTTACAAAATATGCCAAGTTACCTTCCCTGTGCAGTTTTAAAATCAGTTATGAAGCCTGCAAAAAATGCAAGTTCCTGACCCCAACTGTAGACCTATAGAACTGGAATTTCTGAAGGGAGGGACCCAAGAATCTGCACTTCCCTTGTATTCCCCATGCAGTTCTTGAGCACCCTGAAATTGGATAAATGATTTAGAGCTTCCTTACACTTGGAAAGTGCATTCCAATTTGGACCAAAGAGTAGTTCCTCTTCCCCGACTACTACAGCTTTGAGCAGCAAAACATGGCCCCACTGCCAGGACCATGCCAGCTATAGTGAAACGAGACGTCTGTAAGCCAAGGCTGCCTACTTGAGCTCCCCACTCCCAGCCCTGCCCTGCTGTATTAGTCCAGATCCTCTGAGATATAGATGCCAAGAGGGATTAAACATGCAAGGATTTTATCAGAGGAAATGCATGTGTGACAAGAAATAGAGAGGGAACAGAGAGGAGGCTACAAGGTGAGCCTGACCCCAAGTAGGGTTACCAGATTTAGCAAATAAATAGCCAGTATGCCCAGGTAAATATGAATTTCAGATAAACAACAAAAATTTTTTAGTATCAGCATATCTCATGCAGTACTGGGGACATACTTATACAAGAATTGTTTGTTGTTTGTCTGAAATTCACATTCACCTGGGTGTCCTGTATTTTATCTGGCAGTCCTAACTCTGAGCAAAGGAGAAAGGTAGGTTGAGTGGGAACGTCCTAGATTGCTGTGCTGTCTAAGGAGGTTCAGCAAAGCTACTGGGGAGTCCTTGAGCTAAAGTTAGGGGACATCCAAAGAGTCTCCCCAAAACGGGCTGGCCTTAGTATCTCTTTTGCACTCAGTATTGATGGGTCATGGGAAGTGCCATGGCCTCAGCACAAATGAGGGGGCGGAGTCAGGATCCAGGATCTGTGGCCCTGGGTTGGTTAAGCTCCCCTTTGTTGGAGGTCTTCAAGGCACATGCTCACAGCTGCCACACCCCAATACAAAGCCCAGAGTGGCAGACGGGTCAGCAGCAGCTGCCACTGGACACCTGTCTTCCAGCCCCAGCTCAACTTCTTTGAAATGAGGTCACGAAAAAACATCTCTGCCCCAGTTCCCTCCCCCTCCCTCCCCACCCCACCTCGCAGGTGCACTGGAAAGAGAAATGGATGATGTGGTCAAGTACTTCTTCATCCTCAGATCAAAGGGTGGGTGTGTGCTGAGTGGATCAGGCTTCATACAGGCTCAGATCTCTCATGGGGACTGGGACACTCTGCCTCAGCCCCACAGAGACTCCTCCCCAGCATCCTTGGCAGATGTGACCACACTGAACACCCCTTTCCCACAAAGGTCAAATCACAGGTCTTAGAGCAACTCACATCCGTCTCTGGGAAAGCAGAACGGAGATGCCTAGAGAAGAAGAGAAGAGATTTGGAGGGAAGAACCATGAGTATTACAGGTCTGGGGAAGGGTGCGTGCAGCAACAGGTGGGAGAGAGCCCCCCCAACCCCAGGGGCAGAATGACACAGGGGCCTTCACCACCCAGGGATTGAGGACAGCAGTCTCCAAGCACACCTGCAAGGTGGGGAGCAGCTGTATAACAATGCAGTGGTTGTAAAACATGTCCCTAAATTCTTTGATATTTCTCCCTCTAAAAGGCACTTCCCCTTCCATTGAGCATGGCTATACTTAGTGATTTGCTCCTAACAAATAAGATGTGGCAGAAGTGACGGTGCGTGATGGTGTGTAAGATGGGGAAATAAAAGACATCGTGGCTTCCTCCTTGCTCTCTCTTGGACTGCCTGCTCTGGGGGAAGCCAGCTGCCATTTCGGGGTATACTCTAACAGCCCTATGAAAAGCTTAGTGGTAAGGAACTGAGGCCTCCAGTCATCAGCAGTATGAGTGAGTCTGCTTGGTATTGGATCCTCCAGCCCCAGTTGAGCCTTCAGATGACTGCAGCCCCAGCCAACAGATTGAGTACAACCCCACGACAGACCCTGAGTCAGAACCACCCAGCTAAGCTGCTGCCAGATTCCAGGCCCACAGAAATGGTGAGATAATAAATGTTTGTTGTTCTAAGCCACTAAGTTTTGGAGTGATTTGTTATGCAGCATTAGGTAGTAAATATAAGCACTGCAGTTGCAAGTTCAAATCCCAGCTCCACTTAACAGTTCTGTGTCCTTGGACAAGGTATCTAAGCCCTCAGTTCCCTCTGGCTGCCCCCAAACAGCAGAGGAAAGCCTCTGACTGATCCCCACATCCCAGAGAGAGTGCCAACCTGGAGTCAGATCTGGCCAGGTGCCTAAGGGCAGGCAGGTGGCCTTCCCAGAGGCTGGCCAGTTCTCTTGGGGAAAGGAACTCAATCACATTTCCTTCCAAACATCTTCTGTCTTACACCTGACAAAGGCTTCCAGACTTAAAAGTCAAGATTTTGTTAACTTTGTTCTTTGGCAAGGGAATGGGTCCCGGTCCCAGCAGCCTGGGCTTCAGAAAGCACTTAGAGCACAAGCGAGGAAATTCAAGATTGCACAAATCTCCTCCAATCCTTCCCCCAGCTTCTGCATGCTCTGCTCCTTGGGGCCGGTCCCTGAGACTCTCAGGAGATTGCACTGGAGCTGCCTCACCCTTACAGAGAGCTGGAAGGGCCTGGGAGCTCTGCATCCCCCCACTCCCCAGCAGCCTGTGACCAAGAACTCTCTACATGAGAGGACAAATACCAGCTCCTTTGCCTCCAGCTCCCAGGGCTCCCTGATGCCCAGGATCAGGCTGAGGCTGTGCTTCACCTCAACTCTCCCCCTTGGGCAGAGGGAGGGTGGGGTTGGGGGAGTGTCTCTTTCACCTCCCTCTCCTGCTTTCCCCACTGCCTGACCTGGTTCTCCTGAGAACACTGCCTTCAGAAACAGCTGGCATCAAGTCCTTGGCCAGGTTCTAGAAGAATCTGACCTGAGACTGTGAAAACACAGGACCTTCCAAGAGTCATGCAAGAGTTACCATCACTGGACACACACTTATGAGTTGGGCTGTGCCCTCCATCTTCAGAGCCAGATGTCAACAGGAGTATTTTGGGTGCCAAGTCACATCTGGAGAAATTGGGAATTCAGGAGATTAAGTGACTGGCCCAAGCCTCATGGCAAAGAAAAGTGCTGGGACTCAGTCTCAGATCTGTTCCTCCAAGGCCACACTCCTGGCTGTACCTCTCTGCCACCCTGATCTAGGCTGGTTAGGAGGTGTTTCTACTTGTTTTTTTTGTTTGTTTGTTTGTTTTTTTGCGGTACGCAGGCCTCTCACTGTTGTGGCCTCTCCCATTGCGGAGCACAGGCTCCAGACGCGCAGGCTCAGCGGCCATGGCTCACGGGCCCAGCTGCTCCGTGGCACATGGGATCTTCCTGGACCGGGGCACGAACCCGCATCCCCTGCATCGGCAGGCGGACTCTTAACCACTGCGCCACCAGGGAAGCCCTACTTGTTTGTCTTTTTAACCCAGAAACACAGACCCACTTACCCAATTACCACTAAGACCACACATGTTCCAAAGAAGAGGCAGCCCTCAAAGCTCACCCATCAATGGCAGTGCCAGGATTCCAACCCAGAGTGGTTGGTTCCATCCCAGGCAGAGTTCTGGAGGCAACGCTGCAATGGAGCCTGGTGTAAAAATGTGGCTGGTGGTGACGGTGGATGGTTGAACACTGCCCCACAGGTCACCTTCCTGGCATGGGTAATGGACCCTGGTCGTCAGGAGACAGTCAAGTCACTGATACACAAGGGGGGCAGGAAAGAATATGTTTGGCACCCAAGCGGTTCACTGGGATGGCTCTTGGTTCTCCTGTACCCAATTTCAACAGGAAATAAACAAATGCATAGACCAAGAAGGACCTGGTGATGAGGGGAGCAGACCTCTCAAGGATGAGGGTCTCAGTTACCCCATCCAAGCCACCTAACCAGTGGAGGTGCTAGCTCAGGGTATGGGGATACGAGGATGGTGGTAGAGGAGAGGATGATGGGTATCAGTTACACCCTCAAGACCAGCTGCAGGGAGGAAGGAGCTGAATTCCATCCCTCTAAGCTTCCCCCTGTAAGCGTCCCCTGGAAAAGAGGTCCAGTGGAATCTGGAGGAGCTGCTTCTCAAAACTTATCATATGAAACTAGTGAATCCGAGTAGTGCGAGGGGCAGTGGACACTGTGTGAACCACCCAGATACCTCCTCCCTCAAGAACTGGAATCTCACTCCTCTGCCTGTTGATGGCTCCCGCTGAGTCTCTCTGGGACTTGCCTTCTGCTGCAGAGAACCCCCTTGCCCAAGGCTGAGCTCTGTTCACAAGGGCAGCCTGCATTCAGTACCTGGTCACTGTGGCCCAGCAACCTCTTCCCCATCCAGGTCAACTTGGAAGACCTCTGAGGAACCCAGAGCTCTCCATAGGCTGGACTGAGGTCTTTGTCAAGACTGAATCATTTTCAACCTTGCCCTCTGGCCAGGTCTGCTCTCTTTATCTCCTAGAGGTCTCAAGAGCTCTCTCCCACAAGCCTGGATTTTGCAGATGAAACTATGCCAAATCTGTTTCCCTGGGGAGCTGACTTGAGACAGGGACCCTCGTTCAGTGAGCCTCCGCTGAAGGCTTTGGAGTATGAATCTCACCCCAAACTCAGGGGAGCAAGAAGTAGGATTTTATTTTTCTGTAACTGAACCCAACTTCCACAAAAGCCCCATTCTGCTGAGGTTCTGTATGCTTCCCCTGGTGTGAAGTCCAAGTTCGGAAGCTTACATTGGACTGAGGCCCCTTGAGAACCCTCCAGAAGTTCCATCCTCAACAGCCCCCTCAACTCTGCCCCCGCCTGGGGAGTTCTCTCCAGCCTCCTCCCTCCCTCCCTCCCAAACCCTTCTCTCTGCCCCAGATCTTTTCAGCCAAAAGTTGTGAACTGAGGTGGGGCAAATGTGGCCCATGGAATTAGCTTGAATTCTAAAATTTTAAATTAATCATCAATAATTACAAATTAAGAAATCCCACATAAAAATCCATATTTTTCTGCTTCTCGGGAAAGATTAGATGATCTGTCCTTCAGTTCCCCTGGTAACAACTTGCTGAAGCAAGAAGGAGCTGCCCCCTTTGGTAGACCAGTTGGCTGTGGTCCTTCCTGTGGTCTAGCTGGCCTCCAGCCTGTTTCTCTCAGCCTCCTCACCTGCCTGGTGCCAGGGCTTTTGTCTTTGCTGCCCCTGGGCTTCCTTAAGGACTCAGGACTGCAGCTTTGGGAATTAAGCCTGCTTTTCACTTCTCTTGCCGAGGAAATGGTGGGGAAGAGGTTGGTGGTGGTAAGAGGGAAATGCCAAGAGAGAAAGTTCCTTGAGCTGGGTCATGAAGGCTGGGTAGCAGGTGGAAAGTATTGATAGAAAGGAGAGAGGGCATCCCAGAAGATGAACCCACCTGGGTAAAGGCTGTCCCCACTGGGACAGAGTTAGGGGACCTGTCTGATTAAAGCATGGGATTGAGTTTATGGAGCAGTGGGGGAAAGGCTGGATGGGAAAATAGGGGCAGATGACAGACAGCAACCTTGACCCACCCAGATCCCAAGCCTGTGGGCAGCCAGAGGCAAAAAATTCATGGCTTCTCCAAGTGTTTTGTGTTTCTGAACAACATAAACAGGAAGCAAGTGGGTTCACACCAAACTATCCTCTGCACCCAGGTCTGCACCAACCCGAAAGGCAATTCAGCTCTACCAACAATTCTGGCTAATGTTTAGTTCAAGGCTCTGTGTCAGGCGCAAGGAAGAGCGGGGTACAAGGAAGGCCAACAGTGGTGGTTAGAAAACATATGTGCAAGCTCTTGAACATTCCTCACATCAAACGGCGAATTCCAACTCCCCTTCCCTTGTATTTGGGTCACCTTTAGTTATGCGATTCTATTCAGTAAAATACAGTGGGGATGACACTGTGTGACTTCTGAGGCCAGGTCATAAAAGGAATACAACTTCCTCCTGTCTGGCTCTCTCTCTCTCTCTATCTCTCTACCACCCTGCTGTGAGGAGGCCCAGGCCATACAGAAGGAGGCCAACGGTGGGTCAACAGCCCCGGCCGTGGTCCCACCCGAAGCCAGTATCAACCACCAGAGTGTGACTGAGAGTCCTTCAGACAATTCTTGCCCTGCCCCAGCTATCACCATAAAGGTGAACAAAACATAAGTTTCGGGATGGTTTGCCGTGCAGTAACAGGTAAGTGGGCACAAATACGCAGACCCAGTCCTCGGGGGACAGACAAGCCCATCTCAGGACAACATGCAGCCAAGTACAATATCTGGCACATCCTAAATGCTCCTTTAGCTGCCAGATGTTTATTCTGTTTGTTTTCAGATGGAACAAGTCAGTTCTGAACTGGGTTTCAAACACTGTGGACACACAGACTGAGGGATGTGCAGTCCAGGCAGGGGCAGGGAAGGAAGGTCCTGCAGGGGTGAAGGCATTAGTGCCACACCTTGGAGTATGAGGAAGAGAATTTCAGGAGCAAAGGGCAGTACAGATCGCAGACACTGGGAGCTGGAAGGGGCCTTGGAGCCCCCAGTCAATCCCGGGATCCTTGGTTCAGGACTGGTGGTGAGGACCCCAGAACCCATGTCTCCAGGGCCCTATTCTGGGTGCCTCCCGTCTGCAGGCTGCCTGCACACTGTTTCAGCCTGGGCATCCATGACCACAGTTCTCTCCCTGACAGGTGTGAGGGCTTTGTCAGCTGGACCTGGTTAGCGAACTGATTGTTTTAACTGTGTGCTCTGCACTCCTTATCTCTTTTTTTTTTTTTTTTTTGCGGTACGCGGGCCTCTCACTGCTGTGACCTCTCCCGTTGCGGAGCACAGGCTCCAGACGTGCAGGCTCATGCGCCCAGCCGCTCCGCGGCATGTGGGATCTTCCCGGACCGGAGCACGAGAACCCGTGTCCCCTGCGTCGGCAGGCAGACTCCCAACCACTGAGCCACAGGGGAAGCCCCCTTATCTCTTCTACTTATCTCATTCCCCACCTTGACCCCTGCAGGGCCCAGCAATTTCTATTACCTACTCAGTGCTTCATCACCCCTGGAGTAAATAACTCAGACTTCATCAGGCCCTCA